GGAGAAGGGATACACATTATAATAGGTGTGGGGTAGTTATATATATTTTTTGTTTGATACTCAGTTTGTGGTTCTTTTTTAAACTTTAAGCCTGATGCTGCATTGAGCATTCGTATAATAGAAACTTTCGTGAGCGTGTCTTTGTCTTTTCATGTCTAGGAATAGATTCCAAGGCACGCAGTGAAAGGGGCAGAGAGCAAGGGAATCCCAGACTTCTCTTAGATATTGTCAGGTCATCTCCTGGAAATATGACGCTCGTTATGCTTCCACACGAGCCCTGGATGACAGTGTAGCTGTGACTGAACTGTGGATAGCGCTGTTCATTGTGATTTTAAAAACTCTTTGTCAGTTCTGTAAGGAAAAGTATATCATGTCGAACGTGGCATGACTTTTGTGTCTTTTTTCAGAATCTGATAATATCAGACCCTGATATTGTGGGTCTTCCACACTCACTTCGTCTGGAAGGTCAGTTGCAATCGTGCCTTTGCCAGTCTGGATGGTCAGAGCACTTGATGTGGCCTTTTACCATGCTACCCATGATGGCAGGCATGCCTACATACATACATACATACATATGTGGCACACATGCATGCAGTCTCCTGAATTGTAAAACTGCAGCGGTGGTTGTCGAACAGGAGCGACTTTGCATCCTGATTAGGGTAGCCAGACATAGTAAATACAAATACAGAATGTCTGGTGAGATTTGATTTTCAGATAAACAATGAATGTCCCATGCCGTATTTGAGACATACTTAACACTGAAAAAAATATTCCTAGTTATTCCGGAATCCACATTTAAATGGGTGCCCTGTGTTTATCTGTCAGCTCTACCCTGGGGACATCTGTCAATGTCTGGAGATGTTTATGATTGTCACAAGTGGGCAGGGGCATGCTACTGGCATCTAGTGGGCTGAGGTCAAGGATGCTGATAAATATTCAACAATGCACAGGACAACCTCTGGCAACAAAGAATTATCCTCATAGTGCTGGGGTGGAGAATCCCTGTTTGAGACTGCATTTTCATCTAATTTCCAGGATTTTGCATTTAGCTAGTGAGATGTAAAGACTGACGGGACTGAATATGATTCATACATGTGGGAACATATAGCTCTCCACACAGCCTCTCGCTGTCTCCATTGAAGACTTGACTGGCCAGGCTACTTTCAATCTCCTAACCCTGCTTTAGTTTCCTTCATGGCACTTAGTCCTGTGTGAAATTACATTACATGGGTGTATTTCTTTACTTGTGTTTTAATCTGTCCCCTCACTAGGGTGTCAGCCTCCTGAGGATAGGGAACATGCTCGTCCTGTTTGATCCTGTCTCTCCAGCACCTAGGACAGTTTCTGCACAAATATTCATGCCACGAATGACATGATGGATGAATAAAGACAGAAAGGTATCTGGCTTTTAAGATAACTTCATGGCCTCCAAACACATTTCTCATAACACATTCCTCCTTAAGCTGGAGTGCTTCTCACGCCGACATCTCTGCGGAGGGCTGCTACATCTGCCACTGGCTCTGTTCTGTAGTCGTCATGCTCCTTTGCGAGGCTGCTGGTAAAGTACCAGTTTCCTGAATCATTCGAGGTATGAAAATGTGCTGGAGAAATGAGGACTCATTCCCCTCTGAAATATCTGACATGTCACATTCAATGTTTTAGAAGCAAAGTACGAACAACGTGTGTAAGGGCAACATGTTCATCTCCATCTCAGGACCTGCCTCCTACTCCAAGTGCTGTGCTATGGATGGGGCGGGGGTGCTGTTCTTTTCAGGGTCCTCTAAAAGCATCCTTTTATTGACAGAGATCCCAAAGAACAACCTGCATGCTTCCCGGGAGCTAACATTTTTTCACTTAAAGAGTATGTCATAAGCCCCCAAATGTGTCCAGCTCTGCGCTTGGTCCTGGGACATCCCACATGTCGTCTCCCAGCTTTGCGGCAGCCGCCTGTCCTTCCAGCCCTGCACCTGTAATTCATGCAGCCAATGGAGACAGTCACCACAAAGTACCTACGTCAGCGTCAGCCTGAGCGATGATAATCATGAATCTGAGCCTTGATGTGGGAATTATACTGCTTCCCATATTCGTCAAGAGAGATGCATAGCTAATTACGGTTTAAAACATACATGCTTCTGCGTACCACTGGAATTATCAAGCACGATCCCACTGGATACTCATCCCACATTCTGGGGAAAACATGATTAACATGGAAAGATGAACAAAATAGGGCTTCGAATCACTCCTTGAGGGTCACATTGCTCAGTGGTAAAGGACCCACCCTGTTAGGTTTGAATCCTGCCTCTGCCAGCTACTACCTGTGTGACTTTAGACAAGTCGCTTAACCACTCTGAATCTCAGTGTCTTCATTGCGATGTAAGGATGACAAAAAGCACCTAACTCATGGGATTGCTAGAAATATTAAGTACAGTCATCATTCTCGAGCATATAAAACAGTGTCTAGAAGAAAGCAAATGTAATTATTAAATAAATAATTGGGCGGGGGAAACAAACTCACTTAGCTGCAGTACAAAGCAGAATTTGCTACCTACCCGAGGAGAAAACAGAGTCAAAAAATATCGCGCAGACATGGGAGCATAGGTTAAGGGCAGTGCGATAGCGAGATCCTGAGGCTGGAAAGGGTGGATAGCTGTAAATATGGCAAGGTTTTGAATGCTTAGCTATAGAATATGAATTTTCCATTGAGCCATTGGAGAGCCAAAGAAATCTTTTCAATAATAACAAAAAAAGTGATAGGATCAGAGTGGAGTGCGGAGAATAAAAACCCAGGGAGCAGGCCAACAGGGCCAGCGTTTAACAACTGGCTCTGATTTGTAGGTTTGCCAGTTTCTGTAGTGTAAATTCTCCCACCGTGGGTGACTGGAATCTACGCCCCCGAAGTCACGGCACGTGGAGCTGGAAGACGTGGAGAATCAGCTTTTGAGTCTGCCCCTGCCAGCTGCAGCACGCCATCGAGCTAGCCCCCCACCAAGTCCCAGCGTGGGCACTGGCTAGTTGTGTGACCTTGGTCAAGTTCTTGATCCCTTTGACTCTCACTTTCCTTATCTACAAAAGGAAGAAAATAATACTGTACAAAACAACAGAAATGACACTTCCAGTTATTAAAAGAGAAATGCGATGAGGTCAGAAGTATGAAATTGGTTCCCAGGACAACGTTCCTTCTGGGGCTTCCCAGGACAGTCAGTTTCCCTGCCTCTGCAGCTTCTGGATGCTGCCTACATTCCTTTGGCTCATGGCCCCTTCCTTCATCTTGAAAGCCAGCAAGAATCATTTTCTCTCCTCTCTGACCTCCTGCCACCCTCTTATAAAGACCCTTGTGATTACAGTGGGGCTACCTGGTTAATCCAGAATACTGTCCACATCTCATAAAGTTTAGCAGAATCACAGCTGCAAAGCCCCTTTGCCATGTAGGGTAACATGTTCACAGGTTCCTGGGGTAATGTTGTGAGTATCTTTGGAGGGAGGTATTATTTAGACTACTGCAGTGACCATAGACAACGGTGGGGAGGGGGTGCATGTGCAAAGAGCTGTCTACCATCATTGGCATAAATATAAACATGTCTATGTGTACATTTATAATAGTGTATATATACATTTACATGTATATAAAGGGGAGCAGAGGCATGAAATGCTAGATAGAAGAGGATTTGGAATCAAGCATGAGTTTTCTTTGTTTTTGTTGTTTGAGTATACCATATTTTTAAACTGAGGGGAGTTACCCAGTTAAGAGAGAGAAACAGATGAGGCAGAAGTTTGAGGGGGAAAAGCTGCAGGACGTTAAGGATTGGTTTTTGAAGGGAATGGCGACCCTTTATTATAATTAGCAAAGAAGGGTAGCAAGAGTTCAGTCGTCGGCAGATTTGCTGGAAAGAAGGTGGGAGAGCTCCTCTCAGGGGCGTCTGTTTTCTGGATGAAGTGCAGGTCAGCAGCTGAGAATGTGTTAGGTGTTGGGTGGAAGGTGGGAGGTTTGACTTTTGATTATTAATCTCTGCATGGGGGCAGCCATCCATACCCAGTAGCTGGAAAGAACAAGGAGAGTGAGCTGAAGACGTTAGGAACTTTGGGTCCTTGGTGTCAAGTTCAAAAGCAAATTTGCATGTTATTTTATCTCAAAATGAGTTTATTTCCGAATAGTCAAAAGAATTACAACTCTGGCTCTGCACGCTATGGCAAACCATAGGCAAATCCAGAGAACAAAGGAGAGCTGCTTTTATAGAGGAAAGGAGGAGAGGGCGGGGCTGTTCTAAAGGAAAGCCCATTGGGGGAAAGTAATAGTTCAGAGAGGCAATGGCTTCTCATTGGCTGAGCTACGGTGTTTCTCATTGGCTGAGCTGTGGGGTTTCTCATTGGCGGAGCTGTGGGGTTTCTCATTGGCTGAGCTGTGGCATTTCTCATTGGCTGAGCTGTGGGGTTTCTCATTGGCGGAGCTGCGGGGTTTCTCATTGGCTGAGCTGTGGGGTTTCTCATTGGCTGAGCTGTGGGGTTTCTCATTGGCGGAGCTGTGGGGTTTCTCATTGGCTGAGCTGTGGCATTTCTCATTGGCTGAGCTGTGGGGTTTCTCATTGGCTGAGCTGTGGCATTTCTCATTGGCTGAGCTGTGGGGTTTCTCATTGGTGGAGCTGCGGGGTTTCTCATTGGCTGAGCTGTGGGGTTTCTCATTGGCTGAGCTGTGGGGTTTCTCATTGGCTGAGCTGCGGTGTTTCTCATTGGCTGAGCTGTGGCATTTCTCATTGGCTGAGCTGTGGTGTTTCTCATTGGCGGAGCTGTGGGGTTTCTCATTGGCGGAGCTGTGGGGTTTCTCATTAATGGGCTGAGCTGTGGGGTTTCTCATTGGCTGAGCTGTGGGGTTTCTCATTGGCTGAGCTGCGGGGTTTCTCATTGGCTGAGCTGTGGCATTTCTCATTGGCTGAGCTGTGGGGTTTCTCATTGGCTGAGCTGTGGGGTTTCTCATTGGCGGAGCTGTGGGGTTTCTCATTGGCTGGGCTGTAGCCAGGTGTGGAGAGAAGTCTCCTTTCAGTAGGGAAGTAGTTTTACCTCCTGTAGAAGATGGTTCCTGTTTGGTGTACTTGATGATGGTGATGGGGTGTGAGAGCTCCCTCTACAGACCTTCTCAACTCCTGGTTAGTTACGTTTCTTTTATTAGTTTCCACAATGGTCTTGAACACCCTCTAGTCCAAGTTCCTAAGGCACGTCTCTCAGTCTGGATCTGTCATGAACTGAGCGTAGCTGAGAAGATGTCCTGTGTGTCCCAGCTCTCTGCAAAGCCATTTGCTGATGACTGCTTTCCCTCTCCTCATCTCGGACACTCTCGCTGACCAGAGGCACGGTCACAGGAACAGGAATTGTCAGCAGGGTTTCCCTATCAAACCCAGCTGTAGTGGGGTGTCTGCGACATCCTTGGGTTTGTGGCCCTCAGCAAATTAGACCCGTCTGTGCAGCGAAGAGACCTTCACTCGCTCTTGAGGAAAGCCGTCCCATTCCTGTTAAGCTGGAGATTCTTTGTGATTTTGAGGTTTGGACTGCATTCTTATTTTATTGGAGATGAAAATTTATCTCTCCTTTATGTAATGTTTTATTGTTGTTTTCAGTGAAGTTTAAGGGGGAGGAATGGAGTGGAGTTAAAATTCCTTCTTTTGGACTTATTAAATAGAAATTCCAGATTATTTTTCCGTGATAATAAGGTTACAGCTTTGTTTAAATTTATATATTTTTCTGCTTATTCATTAGTCAAATCGATTGCACATTTTTTCTTGACAATAAAGACCTTCCGTAATATTTTCCAACCACTAGAAAGAAAAAAACCACACATCAAAGAGAAGAAATGAAAAAAAAAAACCCAACACCACACAATTGTGGGAAATTTAAAGCATAAAATAAGATAGCAGGAATAAATCCAAACACAGCCATAAAGCAAAGCTCACAATCGAAATCTATTGAGATTTGACACTGAAGGAAAGTGACACAGAATCACCGAGAATAAAAGCAGGCAAAAAGTCGTGCTAAGAAAATGCTTACAAAGTCAGTATTAATTTCAGAAAAAGATACAATTCAAAGCAAAGCATTAGAAAGGACAAAAGGAGAGTTTTTTTTATTGACAACAGGAGACATAACACACAAGAAAATATAATGGTCGTGATGCTTTCTGTGCCACCCAACATGTGGAAGACAGATATGAGTCAGCTCCTTGGAATGAAGATGCTAACCATTCCAGAACCATCTGGAGAAACACTAACACTCTTCTCGGAAACTGACAAATAAAGCAGACAAAAATAAGAGATTCTATAGAAAAACTGAGTATACAATTACCAAATGACCACTATGTGAGGCAAATTCATCCCGTCTGCTGTCCTTTAGAAGTTCATCAAGACTGATCATTTCATTCTACTTGCTTTCCAAAATTACACCACTTTTTTCTTTTTTTTTGTTGCATGCCATTTCATGAGGATTTTTGTGTGGAGGAGTATGTAAATACGTGGTCTTAATTTGCCGTCTTTAACAATCAATTTTTTAAGTGTTTTTTTTAAATGTAGTACTTCTTTGGCTTAATTCTCAATTTTGTTGTCTTTTATATTATTATTTGTGGGACCACTCGGGAAAACTTAAAGGTCTGTGCTCAAATTGCCATCTTCCTCATATTTCTTAAAAGTATTATTTAGGCAAAATTATCTTTTCAAAAATACTGAAATTGATATGAAATCTTTCTGAGGCCACTGAGTGGCCTAAGGATGTAAACATGTCACTTTCCCTCAAATGAATGTTGAAAGCCTGACAGCAAAATCAAATGTAACTTTTTTTCTTAATGGATTATTAGCTGAGAGTCACCACGCCCAGCTTTTCTGTTGCTTAACACCATGCTCATTTTTATGTGGAATTGGTGTTCTTACGTTGCGGTAGCCACCCCTGTGGGGGTTCGAGGGTAATGAGTTGTTCTTCTCAGTCCGTTCTGTGCATTGTGGAACAGAATTGGCATTATTTTTGTAGTTTTGTAGAAAATAAAAGAAATAAAAAGGAAGTAACAGTAGCTTTAGGTCAGCTTGGGGCATTTTTAAGCAATAAACATTTAGGTCAGATACCAGGCAAAAAGACAAATAAGCTATTTGTGGAATAAAGCTTAGAAATTACTTCCCTTCGAATGACGTTCACAGTGACCCCTTATTGCTTTCCAGAATAGAGTCAGAGGACCCAAAGCCATTGCCCTTGGAATACGTAATTAGTTGCATAATGAAGTTTGGTGTCCTCGTGTAGTAGGGGTCATGCTCTACAGGAAAGTTCACAGAGCCTGGTGTCTAGTATTAATGTTTAACTATCTAGAACTTGATTATTTGGCTTTGGTGGTTTCTAGAATGAATGACAAGCTGGTGTGATGGCAGCTCAGGGTAATATTCTGAACAGCGCCAAGGTTTACTTAAGAATTGGGGAACACTGGGTCATCGATGGGGTCTTTCAGGGAGCTCCTTGCGTAGAGAGGCTCCTGTCTTCCTTAGTCCCTTCTTTCTAAGATAACATGGGGCTCTCTTTAATGGGACAAAAGGCTCAAGGATTCTAACTATAGAGTGATGGCAGCAAAGAAGACAGCATATGAAATCCTGATGTAAGAAGATAATCTTCTCTTTGTAATATTAAAAGCATAATTCATTTGTTGATTCATTCATGCATTTATCAGGTATTTATTGAGAACCTAATATTGGCCAGGTGCTCTCCTAAGGACTCTGAAAAAATGGAGAAAAGGCCCATATGTCATCTCTGCTCACTTGCATATTAACCCACTGGAGCATCAGGGGGATTACAGCTGAGCATAAAATCCTGTGATAGGGGAGTATGGCCAACACAGAAGGACATCGATGGGGATTACAACCCAGAATCACGCTGTCGAGGGCAGCATTCCAGAGAACGGACTTCTGTGATGCAGCCTGAGGGGTGACGGGAGCAGGCACCCAGAGAAAGGGATGACGCAGAAACCTTCAACCCACCACGTTAGCAGAAAGCTCAGTGCTCGTTCTTTGTTCTCACTAAAACACACACGTGGAAATACAAGCTTATTGAAAATATAAATCCTGAGTGACTTCCAGAAAGTTTTAAAAATATAATCCTGTTAAGGAATAAGTCTCTTGTTACATCTATGTTATTTTGATTTTAGAAAAAGAAATATTCCTATTTATTAGGTTGAACCGTGTGAAATCGCTGCCCGGGTCAGTCAAAACTGCTCACGTATCAGCAGTTTCAAATGGTTCAGCACAATACAAGCGCTAATCCTTAGCTGGGGCTTGGCCTGGCCTGAGTTTGATCATGCCATTGAATTGAGGAGTTTTCCCTCAGGGCTGTCTATAAATTCAGGACGGATACATGTGTCAAATGGGCTTCTTGTCCAGAAGTGAAATGGGATGCAGCATAGCTCACTGCACTGTTGGAACTAGACGAGGCCTTGATGCTCTGGTCAGCGCCCTCATTCTATGGACCAGCCATGAGAGGCAAAGGGTCTGTTACTTGCTTATTATCCTGCAAAGCCATCGTCAGGACCCCCTTCTCTGAGTTTGTTCCTTTCTCCTTTGCTCACAGACAACTGTCCAGACTCAGGGGGGCGTTATGCATGGGAAAATGTGTTCATGTGGGCCTTTGAAACAGGTCAGCACAATGAATGTCAGGGCGGGAGTTGCTTTTATTGCAGAATAACCAGAGATAGTTATGTGACTCCTAATGAGAAGGGCTTCCGTATGACTTGTGGAGCTTTGCCTGGAAAGTCCGTGTTCCCAAAGCCAATAATTTCCATTTCTAAAACTAGTTAAATTGGTTCCTGCGTCATGTAATTTCCTTGTTTGTGTTTTTCTTACAGAATACAAGGCACACTGTAAAAGTAACATATTGGACTTTTTTCCCCCTGAGGAAGGGGTGTGTACAGTAAGGAACAAAGGAGGAAGCTTTCTGGGCATTGGTGTCAAGAGAGTGTTCACAAAGTGACGTTCTGGCCTCGATTCGTAGGTTCTAGGGACGGGGTGTGTGCCTTGCACACTTGCACTTGACATGATGTGGTCAGGTCATCTCTGTTTCTGGAGGCCTTCTCCCAACATACCCTTCCAAGGTGTTCTCTCTCCATCTCTCAGCTTACCCCCGAGGAGGCTGTGCGATGTCCAAGTGATTTATGATTGCCCGTCTTTATTTATTTTTGCCCCTGAGTCTTATCATTTCTCATGGGTCAGTGTGTCCTTTAGTGTGGCGTGTGTATATGGCTGGAATATGTAATCGTGTTAGGCAGAATATGGACACAGCCTCGAGCCCCACGCTCAGAGAGTTATTCCTGTTTCCCATCTCCGGCCGTCTGGTTGAGTTGACGTCCTTCTCTGTTTGATTCTAGCATGTTCTTAAGACCTTTCTAATGACGATTTCTCCTTTGAACAAAAAGAGAGCAAGTCTTAGGCATAAATCCATCACGCCCTATAGGCACCATGACCACTAGTTGAATGAAAAATGTTACTTTGTTAAAATATCATTTATTTGCATTCTCAACTCCTACACATGGCAGGTGATACTGGTTTTCTCCTTATTTCAGTGGCATTGTTGTTTTTAAAACAAATATATTTAATATAAAGTGAGTTGATTTAAGTAAGAAATTTTGGTAAAGGATTGCATAATTGGTACAAAGACAAGGCAGTCAATTATGAGGGGGACAAAGCTGTGCAAAATATTGATAATGTTGCCCTGGAGTTTCTAACGTCTCACCTCTGCTTCCCTCCCGGCAGTGACGGAAAGCCGAGGGATCCTGGAGAGCATCCAGAGGTTTTCTCTGCTGCCCACCTACCTCCCGGTGACGTACCACATCAACAATGCGGACGTGTCCTTCTTCCTGAAAGAAGCCAACCAGGATATCATGAGAAACTCCAGCCTGCAGTCCCGTGTGGAGTCCTTTCTGATTTACAAATCCAAGCGGCTCCCGGTCCTGAATGCCAGCTACGGGCCTTTCTCCATCGAGCAGGTGGTGCCCCAGGACTTAATGCTGCCCTCCAACCCGCTGGGATTCACCAACAAGTTTTCTCTTAACTGGAAGCTGAAGGCCTCCATCCTGCGGGACAAGATCTACCTGAGCCGGCCCAAGGTGCAGGTGCTGTTCCACGTCGTGGGCAGAGACTGGGATGACCACAGCCCCGCGGAGAGGCTGCCCTGCCTGCGCGTGTTCGCTTTCCGGGAGACCCGGGAGGTGAGGGGCAGCTGCCGGCTGCAGGGGGACCTGGGGCTGTGTGTGGCCGAGCTGGAGCTGCTGGCCGGCTGGTTCAGCCCCCCCACGGTGGTGGCTGGGAGGAAGAAGTCGGGGGACCGGCCCGAGGGGAGCCCCGTGGAGCTCTACTACACCGTGCAGCCGGGCGACGAGCGAGGAGACTGTGTCAAGGAGGATTCCAGGACAGGCGCTGGGGTTCGGACAGGCCACAACGACCTTGATGAGTCGGGGCCTCCCCTGCAGAGGATTGGGAGCGTTTTTCTGTACGAGACCCACAGCCGGCCTCCCCTGAGAGAGCTGCGTCTGGATAACAACGTGGCCATCCGTTACGTGCCAAAGGCTGTGCGACAAGGAGAGGTGCTGACTTTTCCTGTTGCTGTCTCCAAAAACTGCACTGAGGACCGCTTCACACTGAGGTGAGTTGGTTCAGAGTATCTCCCTGTCCTAGCTCGAAGGTCAGGATGCTTCTGAGGCAACCAGTGTTTGATCTGAAGAGCTGTGATAGCGCTGGCCAGAGTAGAACTGGTCTCCCGATTTTTACAGACTCCATTTTCACTGTAAAATAGAGACCTGTTTGATGTTCTGGGCTGGCAGTTTGGTGGTGAAGATATTCTTATTAATTGATTTTCCAGGCGGTCGCAGAACTGCCAGGGGGACGCTGATGTTACATCTTTTGCCTTTGCTTGGGGTGTTATCAACAAGTTTTAGGAATGCTAATGGCTCCCAACAGGAACCATTTCAGAATCAGATAGTTAAATGGCTCACAGCTGAAATGAGACTGCAAATGAGGTTGCAACAGTTCTCAGGAAGGCTGGAGGATACCGTTTGCCAACTCACAGTCTATTCCAAACCTGTGAGTTCCAAGATATGGTATCAACCTGAAACTTATCATGTTGTTTCTCTCTGGAAACAGAACTTAGTGTTCAAAATATAAAAGCGTGTAACATGTGAAGAACAGTTGAATTTGTTGAGTGTCTTGTATAAGAATTTAGCAAAGACAAGGCGTTTAAAAGGACTAGTGTGTCCTTTGGAAGAATTATGGGTTCGTTTTCTCTTTGAAATGCAGTATGTAAGAGAAGCTGCTTGCTTGGATTTTCAGGGAATAGTTGCTTTGTCTACTTCTTTTAAACAGAGACGAGGTTGATTCTAACAGCTGTTTGGTGTAAGTGTTGCTGGGTCCCTAAGCGTGTCCTAACGTTGTTACCTAATGCAGCAACTTGATCTGAAGTGCAGTGTAATAGGATTTGTGTTATGACCCCTGGAAACGGGAGTGTTGCTGTGAGACACATTTTATAGGTGGGGTTTAAAAGTTCCTCCAGTAATGATCTGATCTCTCATCCCTCTCCATCTGGGTGTAATATCTGCTTTGTCTTCCTTTCTTCCTTTTTGTTTGTGTTAAGGGATGGGTGACCTTAGGAAAAGAGTCATTTTTTTTTTCTTATATCTTGCACATTTAAGTTGACTATGCCCCAGCGCCAGGAATTCCCTTTTAATCTTAACTAAAGAAACAGAAACTAATGCCCAGCGTTAATCTACTGATTGAATTGGCTGCTGGTTGGCTTTGGCTTGGGCTGATCCTGTGTCTGGGGATTAGCGGCAGGGATTTGGGGCACAGAAACACGTCTGTGGACTGAGGCCTCGTTGCCTCTCCCTTTGGAGATCAGACCTGGATTCAGCTGGTCCCAGGCCCTCTGCATGGTTGGCTCATTTCATGCTTTGTTTTCCAGGTTCAACAGTCTTACGTAATGTTCTTTGTGGAGATGGCTGCTTCTATAGAGAAATATTTTGCTGCTAGAAACTAAAGGTTTTGAACAAGGGGAGCTTTATTCTCGCACGATTTCATACTCTCTGCCATCCTTTACATTTGCCAACTACGGATTGTTGATTTCCTGGACCCAGGGTGAAAATCAAAATCTCCTGCAGCTGTAACTCTCCAGGAGATGATACTACATCCAGCTTTTTTGGGAAGCAGTTGTATGTGTGATATTAAACCTCACAAAAAGCTTTGCATCCGATGACCATCTATTACACACTACACCCATTTGTCAGAGACCTGAGGGCAGCTCTATCACTGGCCAGCTGTGACAAAGCCAAGAGAAATTTGCTTTCTGGGCTACATAATCTAAGGGATCCAAATCTTTGCAGAGTCGGAAACAAGCACGCTTGAAGCATCTAGATGTGGTGATTCCACTTATAAGTCAAAGATCTGAAAATTTTGGCTATATAGTAAAAGTGTATTTGTTCAGAGTCCATCAATTAGACATTTATGAAAAGAAAAAAGATCAGTTTTCCAATTAAGACAACAATAAGGTAACTATTTCATGAATGTGTAAGTTGGTAAGGTGGCACACTGTCTCTTTAAAAGCTTGCATTAATAATGTGCTTGCTGCATACGTAAAATGCTCTGATTACAAATGAGTCTTACCTGTTTATGAAAACAGCTGGAGGTAAACCTGGATCTGGCAATGTTATTAGCCCTTAGTTTGAATTCTCATAATTAGAAAATAATAAAACTGTCTATTTTTTCTAATGAAGTCAATTTGACACTAATTTAGCATGGCTTCCAAATATTCAGAATTAGTACGGGTCTTCTCTATCTGGCCGTCTGCTATAAATAACCCTGAAGGATCCAGCCACGTAGGCTTGGGTGCTTTTCTCTGAAATTGCAACTTTTGTTTCTAGACTCTCTGTGTTGACAGTGTTGACACCCTCAGAAGTAGGCTCGTGTTTTATAGGTCAGGTGCCAGCAGGACATCCATCGCTACTTAAGGATGGCCAGGGGGAAAGGGGACCAAATTAACTGCCACCAACAGGAGGGAGCCCATCCAAATCGAGGATGCTGCTGCGGCTGCAGTTTGAGCTCCTCGCCCACTGTGATTGGCCACCTCCTGCCTCCTCCCTGGCAATTGCAGAGCCTGTCATCTCAGGGTGATGCTGTGGTTAATGCACAGGGGGTTGGCTTCTGTTCTGGGAACCAATTTTTCCATGCAAATGATCAGTCAGAGCAGTTTAGAAGAAATAGCTGTGTGTGTGTCTGAGCATATGCATGTGTGCCTGTGTGTGTGTGTGCGTTAACCTTTGAGAAGAAGAAAGCCCGGATGGGGCTGTTTGTCGTCTTATAAATTCTGTCCTCTCCTGTAGCTCGTGTCTTCCAAAGCAGACCTCCACAAAAGAAGAGAGGCAAAATGCTTTCATTCCCTGAGCATCGGAGGATCCCTTTGAATTCCAGAAAATGTTTTCCTTCGAGTGAACAACTGAAGCATCCCACAGCACTTGAGCCTGTTCTCGTGTCCTCTCTGCTCCTCCAACAGAGAGCCAATTTCAGAAACATCCTAGGTCTCTAACCACCTGATTATGTGTCTGGCAGGAGAAGAGAACTCGGCTCTCTCTTTTGCATCCTCCCCAGCTAGTCCTCCCTTCCTTGTCCCCACAGGACCGCAATTTCAAAGAAGTTCTGGTCGTCAGAGCTGATTGTGAGGGAATCCCAGAGCTCTCCGGGAAATGCAGGTGGGGAGGCTCAGAACAGTGCAACAAAACTCAGGCGAATAGGGGCTTTGCTCAAAGTCACAGATAGTCTTAAATTGGTTGAATGAATGAATGAATGAACACGTTGTTGATTATTAACAAATACCTATACTTTGCTGAGGTCTCTATAGTTTTAAATGCTAAATGCTCAGGAATTTAAGACCCCTTGTGCCTAGCACTGTGGGCAGCTGTGAGGCCATCTCTGAATAAGACATTACTACCAAGCAAGTATTCTTGCGAAGATGAGAGTCATGAAGGAGAGAGCAGGAGGGTGAAATGAGAATATTTGACAAGGAGGAAAAGCGGGCCTGGGATTGATGAGGCACAAAAGATGTTCTTTGGTGGTTTGGGGAGCCTGCTTTGCAGGAGATTTTGCACTTCTGAGGAAATAATGTGATCGTTTGAGATTGGCCCTGAGCTTAACTCACTTGAATGATATAGCCTTTGAACTTGCCTTGGACCAGAATAGATTCTCTTCTTATTCTGTTCCAGGTAAAATATGTCCTGGTGTATCCAATAATGTTCTTACTTGCAGGCCATACATCCCAGTCTGGATAATTTAAGAAAGAAATTAATAAAAGGGCTTGTTGGATGTATGTCGTGGATCTCTAGAATTAGTGAGACAGGGGGCCCGGGCTTGGCATGGATGTGGTCTGAGAGAGGATGGATGCCTGTGCGAAGATGCAACAGCCTGCTCCCTGAGCACCCCTCACCCACCCCCACAATGAGTCCCTTCAATAGTACTGTCTGTTCTTGCTATACTTGCAAAAGGTGCAGACTCCCGAGGAGCTCCCACCAGCTCACATGTCTACGTGCTGTCTGTGTTGAGGTAGGAGAGGGGCCCCATATCATTCCCATAATGAGAATGGGTTCCTGGAATTACCTTTCACTAAAGCACATCCCACAGGAGGAGACACTTCCCTCCTGAGAAAACCGGGTGCTATTAGGAAGAGGATGGATGCTGGGTATCTGTAAACCCACAAATGTCCATGACATCGGCGCCTGGGACCGTGCCTCTCTTTGTTGTCTAGTGGGGATTAATAGAGTTGCCTGGAGTGGAGAGTGGAAGGAGAGGCAGACAGAGAAAGTAGGGGGTTCCATCTTTTGTCAATAAACCTTTTATTTTAGAATAGATATAGATTTACAAAAAAGTTATGACATCAGTGCGGGGCATTCCCATGTGCCCCATGGCTAGCTTCCCCTCTTATTAACTTCTTACATCAGTATGGTACATGTATCACAATTAATGTGCCAATATTATTATTAACTAAAGTCCATACTTCATTCACATTTCCTTAGTTTTTACCCAGTGCCCCCTTTTCTGTCCCAGGATCCCATTTAGGTTCTCGCATGCATTTAGTCGTCATGTCTCCTGAATTCCTGTTGGCTATGACAGCTTCTCAGACTTTCTCTGTTTTGATGACCTTGAGAGTTCTGAGACTTACTGTTCAGACACTTTGAAGACATCCCTTAGCTGGGGTTTGTCTGATGTTTTTCTCATGATTACAGTGAAATAATGGGTCCGCAGAGGTAAAGTGCCATTTTTATCACATCGTGTCGAGGATGCACGCTACCACCTGATGTATCACTGTTGATGTTGACTTTGATCACCGGGCTTGAGTAGTACTTCCCACGTTCTCCACTGCCAAGTAGCCTTTTTCCTGCTCCCGATACTGTGTTCTTTGGGAGGGAGTGATTATCCACAGCTCCCAGTTGTGGAGCTGGGCATTACCCTCCACCTCCTTGAGAGTGATAAGTCGACGTAAACAATTTGGAATTCTGCAGGTGAGATTTGTTTATTCTTCCTCACTTTTGTATTTATTTATTCAATCATTTATTTACTTCCATAAGGGCATCTGGACATTTATTTTTACAGTTTGAGTTATAATCC